AAAAGGAAGGCGCGCACACCGCGTGACAGGCGCCTGTCGGTGTGGCGAGGACTCTATTCCTGGTGCTGACCCGGACATCGGTCCCCGAGTGGCGGCACCGCGCACAGGCGCGATGCGACTCCTGCCCATTCTTCGACAGGCCTGCACGCGCCCTGCGGATCACAAGGAACCCTCTGTGTCGGTGGTGCCGTCCCTCCCTCACTGCGGTGACCGGCCCGCCTCTGCCTCCGCCGGAACCTCTTCCCGAAGTGAGCACCGCAACTCCTTGCCGACCAGCGAGCGGCGGATTGACGTCCTCCTGCCCAACCTGCGGCAGAGTGCGCTCGTCCGTCCACAGTATGAGGGCACATGCCGGACGTGCTCAGCCTGGCGTTACAATAGTTTGCGAGGGCCTCCCATGCGGATGCCACAATGGCGCCACCGTCTTCTTAGCAGGCGCCTCGCGCGCAGGTCGCCACCGAAGTTGCCAAGCATGCCAGCAGGCAAGACACGCAGGAAGCGCAAACGCGGGTACTCGAGATGGACCAGGCTCTTCCGCCACCGCCTCATCACGGACGCCACGGGCTGCTGATCCCCGACGGACCACGGGAGACTCCGCCTCATCCACTGCGGGAATGCCCTCGTCATTGGGAACTGGGACTGCGACTGTTTGTGACTGCCCCAGCCCGCACGACGGAATACTTGCCACTTTTGTACGGACGGCCCTTGCGCTACTCACTCGTTATTGTAGCAGCATACAACCAAAACAAGATAACAATCTGCTTTGTGATGAATATTGGCTGCACTTCCCGTGGACCAACAATCCGCGTGGTGTGCGGGGATCTCCTTTTGTATTGTTACTTTGATTTTGTGTTGCTGTGTGCGCTGCACCTTCTTGTGTGTGTGCGCACCCTCCGTGAGGGGTGCCGACACGACGGACCGCTCTCGCCGCATGTGCATGCGGTGGAGCCTTGTGTGCCGCTCCTGTTTGCTTCTCCCTCTTCTATCTGTGTGTCGGTGTTGCGGCAGGGCTGTGTGTGTGTGTGCCTGCTGCCGTGGATTGGAGTGTGTGTCGTGCGTGGTGTGCGGCGTACGGTGCATGCCTGGCTGCTGCCCTCTCCTCATGTGGTGTGCCCTCCGTGTGTGTCTGCCGCACCTCTCGTCTCCCCTGTTGCTCTCCATGTCCCTCACTGTGCAGATCAGCTCCACACCACTGAACGACCACACTCACGATGATGATGATGTGCCGTCTGCTGTGCGCCCTGTTGGTGCTTGCCCTGTGCTGCTGCCCGTCCGTGTGCGCGTCAGGCGCTGGTCCTGAGAATGGGCCTAAAGCCGCTCCCGCTACACCGCCTCCTCCACCAGAGTCAACACCCCTGAAGGCCGGTCAGTCAGAGTCGTCAGGTTTGGAGCCCGTTGGAAAGCCGGGAAATGGTGGCGGAGAGGGGCCACCAGAGATGGGGTCCGGTGAGAAACAGGTAAGGGGTGATGGAGATGGAAATACGCCTACAGCTACGGGCCCCAAATCAAAACAAACGTCTAATGCTGCACCTGCGGAAGGTAAGAAGAGTAAAACAAGTGGTACGGATACACCTGTGGAAAAAGCAGAAAAGAATGCCGAGGATTCATCCACTACGACGACTACAACAAAACCACTAACTACGACAACGACGACTACAACACAGCCACCAACGACGACCACCACTAAAACAGAGGCACCAAGTACTACGACTACAGAGGCGCCAGCTGCGTCGACAACCCGCGCACCGTCAAGTCTTCGCAGAATCGACGGCAGCCTCAGCAGCTCTGCGTGGGTGTGTGCCCCGCTGGTGCTTGCCGCCTCCGCGCTGGCGTACACCGCTGTGGGCTGAAGAGGTGTGTGCGGGCTGTGCGTGCCAGCACTCAACCGCGGGATTTGTGCGCGTGTGTTGTGGTTCAGTGTATAAAATAAGAGGAAATAATGATCTTGTTTTGCTTCACTTGCTTCTGCTGCCGTGCTGTGTGCTCCGCGTTGTGCCCCGCATCCGCCACGTTGAACGCATCGCGGACACACTCATATGCATGCGCACTGGAGCTCTGGGTTTGTTTTCTTTTTTAATTATTGTTTTTTAATTATTGTTTTTTTATTGCTTTTTAAACTTCTGGTTTGCGGTGCGGTGTGCGAGCTCTGCAATCGCACTGATTCCATCTGTCTCGTGGTGTGTGCGCTGCTGCTGGGGTGCTGCCATTTGTTGCTGTGCGTGGTGTAGCGGCTGTGTCTCCCTTTGGTTTTCTCGTGCTATCGCAGGTTGGCTCCGCAGCGTTAGGCGACTCCACTGTTTGTGATGGTGACTGGCCGGTGGCTCTGCGTCCTGTTGGCTCCTGCAGTGATGCGCAGCTGCTCGTGCGTGTGAGTGAGGGCTGCTGCGACGGGGTGCGTGTGCTGCCCGCGGGTGAGGACCATAATCCCACCTCGGGAGGAGCACTCACTGCTCCGACGAGACAGGGCCAATCCAGCAGCGACCCACTGCGAAGTGGCCCTTGCAATCCGTCCGGCACTGGCAGCGCGTCTGCTGCTCGGATGCGTGCAAGTGGACCGGAGTCTTTGGGCGGAGGGCACGCTGCAGGCACAACATCCCCACGCTCCGACGCATCTCAGCAGGCAGCGGGTGGAGTGCATGCTGGTGGCGGGAGGACCTCCCAGGGCAGTCAGGCTTCGGAACAAACCGTCACGGGACAGTCACAGGTGCCAGGGACGGCGAAGGAAGCACCGCAGGGCGATGAAGGAGGAGAACCCGGAGCGCAACACGAGGCCGACCAAACCACAGAAATGACTGTGGTGACCGCTTGCGCAAAAACAGCGGTGGAAGAGGAGAGCCGCCAGCGAGATCGCAAGATGCACCACGTCTCTACAGTGGCGGGAATGCTCATTATTATTATTTTTCCCTGCTCTTACCGACATGTCTAGCCACACGATGTCATCAGGGTGCCGAGGAGGTGGTCGAGCAGCGACATGAGTTTCATGCTATGAGGCGGCTGCCATTGGGAGAAGCTTTCGGTGCGAAGGTCCTTCTTGATGCCCAGCCGTTGGCGCACAGCCAGAGCGTCTGTACATTCTAGAAGCAGATGGTGCAGCGTTTTCTGCGGGCTAATTGTTGCGCTTGTGGAGGCTGGCTGATCCTGCGGTAGCAGTGATTGCCTCCTGGCACTGCTGCTGCGGTGCCGAGTAGCGTCTGGGTTTTTTTCGCGGCGATTTCTGTGCTGTGCGGTGCCTTTTTTTGTGTGGGGAGGACCGTGTCGCAGCAATCGCGGTGGAGGTGGGGAAGCGGTGGAGGGCGTTCCGGATGAAGGCACCGACAGTGACCGACATGGTTCGTGTGTCCCACCAGTGTGGCGTCACATTGCGGGCATTTCTTCTTTCGACGGCGTGTGGAGGGCCGTCTCTCCACAGGCGGTGCGTCGGCCTCCCTTGCCGTCGGGGGAACAGCTTCCGTCCCGCTGCAGTGGGATCGTCGTTGGAGCGCATGAAAGCGGAGTGTTCCGGTGAGATGTTGCGGAAACGGCGTTGGTTCGTGCAGTCTCTCGCAGTCCAGTGCAGGCGACCCCAGAGCTCGGATTCCCCGCACCCTTCCCGTGCAGTGTTTATCCGTTCCTGTCAGTCGAGGGCTTCCTGAGTGATTATGTGCTTGCCGCCTGGATCTGATGGCCTGGCGCCGCCAAGCAGGTAGTGGTGGGTGTCCTGATGCATGGTACTACGCCACTTGTTGGTGAGCTGGGTGTTAATGCATGACAGCAGGTCCGTGTGCCACATGGGTGCTATTCCATGCTCCGTGTGTTGCCCGGTTGCCATAGTCTGCGTCGCATGCTGATCTGCAGGCTCGTTAACATGTACTCCGCGATGTTCGTAGCAAAACTGCAGCTGCACGGACCAGCCGGCACACATCAGCGACAATAGACGCTGCCAGATCCGATCCTCCGTCCAGTCGGTATGACTGTGCGGGCCCTTGGTGACGGCGGCTAGAAGGGAATGACTGTCTGTAACCACAAGCAGGGTTTTTGCCTGTGCTGGACACGAGGGACATTCAGCCTTTCCATGGCCGGGAGCAGTGCACGGGATTCCGTCGTGCGGCTGCATGGGCGTGTGCCGCCGTTGGTACTGACCTTCTCTATTATCTCCGAGGAATGCAGTGATGAGAGCAGTATGCCAATCCCGGCTGAAGTGGGAATGCCGACACCGCTATTCTTCGTAAGTATCCACGGTCCCCAGCGATGACGTTGCACCTTATCGCGGTGTTGGGGCTTTGGTTGCGTATAGGAACTCCGCAGCAGGGCGTTGCTGCGAGCACGACGGAGACCAAGGTGACTTCACCTCTCGAGAAGGTTCCACGCCATGCCCGGTGCGGGGAGGTGAGGCGGTCTGCCTGCAGACTGTCGGTCAGAACTGCACGACCGTTTCGCAGCGGTCACTCCGTTGATATCGCCCGTGGCGGTGACGTTCACACGAACCATGGCCCGAGGAGGATGGCCTCATCAATATTTGGCTGCTTAACATTGCAGGCCTCTCGTCCGTGAAAAAGATTGCATTTGCTGCGCGATTGGAGCAGCGTCCACCTGACACCGTTCTTCTGCAGGAAATAAGTAACCGTGGTGGCGTTGCGACGAAATTATGTGGCCATAATGACTGCCTCCAGGCCTCACTGGGCGCGGTGGTGGCGTTGCCGTTCTGGTGCGCCACTCTCTACCGTGCGAGCGCCTGTCGCTCCCTGGCACTGACCTCCTGGAGACCATTGCTGTCCGTGTATTTCCGCCGGGCTGTCCCAGCATTTGCGTGGCGAATCTCTACAACCCTCCCACAGCAATTGGTCAATAATCCGCATTTATCAATATCGTTTGTCGCTTGTGCCCGAAGAGATTATCGCGGGTGACCTGAATTTACATCGTGAACTCTGGGACAGTCATATACACCATCAAGGACTGGAGGCGATAATTTCGCCGCTGTTCTAATCGATATGGATTTTGGCTGGCAAATTACCCGACACAGGCAACACGGATCACACATCGTAATGCCTCGTCCCCTGACGTGACTGCGTATTGCGCCCTACGCATCTCCCACTGGACATTCGCCCCTTACATGGACTCGGACCACCGCTGAATATCTTACTTGGTAGAGATGGACGATGGCACTCCACGACTAGCAAACACGCTGCCTTGACGGAAGAAAGCCACCCTTGCCCTGCGTAAAGCGGGTTGGCCTGCTTTTGCATCGTTGTGTGAAACCCTCCTTGCCACCGCGTCCACATGGTTGGATCCTCGCGGAGGCATCTTACGAGCAGCTGAGCGCCACATTCCGCGCGGCAGCCGTGACAGCTCCAAAAAGATATGGACACACGAAATGGAACAAGCCGAGTCCGCCGCCGAAGCAGCACACGAAGCATACACATTGCCTCACCCGGAGACAGCCTGTTTTGAGCCGAATGTACCCGAGAAAAGGGAGGAACGAAATCAAGCCTTACGCCGTTGCTCCGCTGTGCTTCTGGAGGCCCGCGCGAAAAGACTTGGAGCCTCACCCAGCCCGAGCTGGCGATATCTTCACGGCGTGGCGGCGCCGCACCCTCATCCTCTGGAATCGGTTGTGCTCCGCACTGAACTTGGCCGCGCATGCGCTCTGCCTCGGCAACAGGCAAATCTGCTTGTCCGTCATTTTGTGCGGTTTCACGTGCCATACCGCCTTATACTGCTGCTGCTGCTCGCTGCACTCCTTTGGTTCCTGGTGGCTGGGAAATGGATCGGCCTTTCCCGCCGTATGTACTTGACGTGACCATCCGTGACTCTTTGCTTGGCTCAGCCCCTGGCCCCGACGACATGCTGAATGAATTCCTGCACCGTCTCGGGCCCGTTGCGCGTGGCACACTTAGAACGATGATCCACAACTTCTTCGCAAACGGCAGCCTGCCTGGCTCCTGGAAAATAGGAGATGCTATTCCTATCCCCAAGCCTGGGAAGGATCCATGCCGCCCAGAGAGTTACAGACCTATCACGCTGCTCTCTGTTTTACCAAAGTTAGCCGAAGGAATGATTCACCGCCGTCTGTCAGCGTTATTGCCGCACCACCCACGTCAATTTCGGATTTGCACCTCCGCGTTCTACGTCGGACGTGGTGGCACTTGTTGTCGACAAATTACTCGTGGACTGAATGAGTTTGGCATTGTGGAGCATGAGCGCCCTGGAGACGACGCCCCCACACGACGCCCTCGTCGCCATCGCACGTCGTTTTGATTGATTTTCCGACTGCGTTCGACACCACTGACCATGGGAAGTTATTCTGCATGCTTGACAGACTTCCGCGCCTTGGCCTCGAACCAAACGCTGGCTGCACAACTACCTGCGGGGCCGCTATGTTAGGGTATGCACTCGCGAACAGCACTCCCGGAAACAACTCGCCTCAGCTGGAGCACCGCAAGGCGGCGTCCCGGGACCCCAACTCTTCCTCTGCTGTGTGGATGATCTGCTGCGCCGCCTGGGCAGCATCTATTCTGCCGCCGCATTCATGTACGCTGACGAACACACACTTGTTGCCTCATGTGCGGACATTCATGCCTGTGCTGCGGCAATGCGACCGCTCTTGTCTCTTGTGGCCACATGGGCTGCCGGGCACAGCCTAAAAATCAACGTCGCTAAGAGCGAAGCTGCTCTATTCCACATCGCTTCACACACACACGGTCTGACGAGGACATGGTCGATCTCCATCTTGTTAGCGGGAACCTACGTATTCAGTCACGCCCAGTGCGCTTGCTGGGCAACACGTTCGATCAACTTCTTAATTCTGTTACGCATGCTTCCACCGCTGCAAAGAGGACCATGCCACGCCGCTATCAGCTGCGTCTGGTCGCAGAGGCGGGCGCGTCCCATCACACCATGCGATCCTTTTTGATTGGATACGTTCATAGTGTGCTGTTTCATAATGGCGAGGCAATTGTCCCGTGACTCGCCCCCACTCACCTCCATAATATGGAAGTACGGTACCGCGACGGTAGCAAAGCATTCTTGGCCTGAGCGCATCTACAGAAGACAAATCCGTCTATTTGGAGGCCAATATTCTTCCGCTCCGGAAGATACTCTGGCGTCGTGCACTCACACAATACGAACGCTATATACGCCTCCATGATCACGAGGATTTGCGTTCCCTTATCTACTCGCAACCTATGCCGCCGTCCATGCATGGGAAAGCGGCGACATCAATCCGCCTCCGAGAGATGCTGCTATTGATGGATTGCTACGCGTCTGTGACATTATTGGGACACCCCACAACCGCATTCGCGCGCCTCTTGCCCAACATCGAATTTTTCCCTGGATACTGTGATTTGCAACAAAGTGAGATTTTATCAGCCACTGCTTGCCGAAGACGCCTCTGACGATGTCAGGCGCACGGCTTTTTATTCTACTCACTCCTCTTTGGGGGATTGTGATTTTGAATTGTCGACGGACGGTCCTTCATATCTCGCTGCACTCGCATCCGGATCCGCTGCGCTATTATATGACTCCACCACGACAAATGATCTCCCTGTGGAGGTACATCGTGCAGCAGCTGGCAGCCTCGCATGCTCATATAGGGCAGACTGCCTTGCGATCGAAAATGTTTTTAGACATCTCATACCTCCTTGTCTGGAAACATCCCAATCGCCCACACGAATGCTGGAGGAAACGGACTTCCTCTCGGCAATGGAGGCACCCCGCGTTGCCCACCGACCGTGCGAGACCGCGTTACTGAGTAAATTTGGATTATGCTGCTTTCCTTGGTGACGCGAGGTCACCCTGTGGATTTTATATTTTCCCCTCACACTGCGGTATTCCACGCGGTGAGGCCGCTGACAAACAAGCCACGATTGCACGATCCCTCTCGCAGGACTGCGTCAATGCCTGGCACGTGGACTTTCTCACTGCAGTGAGGCGACGGCACTGGAAGGATGCCCAGGAGGAAAAGGAAGGCGCACACCGCGTGACAGGCGCCTGTCGGTGTGGCGAGGACTCTATTCCCGCTGTTGACCCGGACATCGGTCCCCGAGTGGCGGCACCGCGCACAGGTGCGATGCGACTCCTGCCCACTCCTCGACAGGCCTGCACGCGCCCTGCGGATCACAAGGAACCCTCTGTGTCGGTGGCGCCGTCCCTCCCTGACTGCGGTGACCGGCCCGCCTCTGCCTCCGCCGGAACCTCTTCCCGAAGTGAGCACCGCGACTCCTTGTCGACCAGCGAGCGGCGGATTGACGTCCTCCTGCCCAACCTGCGGCAGAGTGCGCTCGTCCGTCCACAGTATGAGGGCACATGCCGGACGTGCTCAGCCTGGCGTTACAATAGTTTGCGAGGGCCTCCCATGCGGATGCCACAATGGCGCCACCGTCTTCCTAACAGGCGCCTCGCGCGCAGGTCGCCGCCGAAGTTGCCAAGCATGCCAGCAGGC